CTTGGTTTGAAGCAAAAAATGATAAGTGCCATTAAAATGACACATGATACTGATATACCACAAATAAGTGGGATCCAGTCTTGAGGCTCTTTTTGAAAACCTGTTAAACCAAAAGCTAAATATTAATATTTCTTTGATTCAGGTGAAAAAGATTCACAAACAGCATATGGCTAAACACCCACCTGTTGTTGTGCTAAATGATGATGTGTGAGTGGTAGTAACTGTAGTGTATCCATCAAACACTGAATCTATATTGCACTTTAGGGACCCGTGTGGATGTACAGGCACAGATGTAGTTGAAGTTCTGTTTGGATTATTTGATTTCATGCCGCACGTCACAGCGCAAGAATCAGATGAATCCTTACTGTCACATACTGTAAGCAAAGATCAAAAGGTTACATCAGGTTATCTTCTACTATGAAACAATGATGTTTGTGTGTTAGTTTCTCACCTGTAACTACACACAAATTGATAGTGACTCGCTTAATACTGTGTCCGACACAACTAGTCATCCAGCAGGTATATTTACCAACATCTTCTCTTCTGACATTTCCAATATATATAGACTTGTTGAAAGTCAAATTGTCTGTTGTTGCTCTTAGTTCTGATTTCCCAACAGCAGTCGTTGCTTCAAAAGTCCAAAAGTTTATTTTATCAAGTTTACTTGAACATGTGTGCTGAAAACTGCTGCCAGCAACAATGTAAACTGTCTTATTGGCTAATTTCCACGTCTCTGAAAAAAGAGAGGTAAAGGATTGTGAGAATTATCTTTGGCAAATTTAAAAATCATAATCCCAGGTAGATTCTGACTTAACGGAGAAAAATATGAAAGCAGGACAAACCTTTCTTCACTATGATGTCAGTGGACTTTTGGCATGTTTCTTGGCATGTTTCACACCAGTACACACCTTCATCATCCTCAGTAAAAGAACTGATAACCAAGGAATGATTGGATCCAATTTTCAATTTGGGATTGGACATTTGATGATATTGCACTCCACTCTTATCTCGGAAGAATAACTGAACCTGCTTACTGCTATGGTCCTTCTTGTAAAACCATTTGAAAGAGTCTGATCGATGGATGTAATGCTGACACGGTATCACAGCTCGACATCCCAGCGAAAAATTAAGTTGTGCTGCAACTGGCAAAATATCACGTTGCTCATTTATATTAACAGTCACTTGAAAAAAATATAAAATATTCAAAAGTCAGTTCATCAATTGTATTTTAAATACATCCTATTTAATTAAGCAATTTGAATAATGAATTTAGTTAAGTAATGACTTGATCAGATACTCACTGTTTCCTGAGAAAGTAGAGAAGTTCCAAACAAGTAAAAAGATGAAAATGAAGCCTTTCTGTTTCATATGGGAGAAATTCCTGTCCCCGCAGAAATAAAACCCAACATGAAGCATCCTGGCTGTACCATTACTGCTCATAAAAAACACAGATCACAAACTCTGCCTCTCAGCTAAAGGTTTTAGATTGAGCTTAACAGCTTAAATGAGCCTGACACATCGGAAGTGGTCGAACAGCCAGTACAGAGGAAATCTAGCAAGGTTGTCACCCACACTGTTTTTCTGATGTGGTCTTTTACTTCTTACATTTAGTATGGGTGTTAAGACACAAAATGTGCATCGCAAACCAGTTTCTTTTTTAATATATAGATGCCAAATATGTTCTCACATTGTATTTTATGCTGAGATAATGTTTGTGGGGGTTGAACCAAAACTGTGATTGAGCTGTTTGGACAGTTTATCGTACGCTTAAACTCACTGGAGTTTGGACTTCATGTGCAAACAAAGCACTTGTAACCAACTTATTGACTGCCAAGGACAACAACTGACACAATTACACTTTTATTAATGAGATTAAATTCTAATGAATATCATAAACGTCCCAAAAGTGCTGAGCTGAGTACTTTAAAGTGTCTTAATTTGTCATAGAGCACCATGCAGCATGTGCAGCATGTCAGTCAGGTTTGGGCAATTAAGTATGATATGTAATCTGGAGTATTTATTTGTTTAAAAAAACATGAATATAATCTGCACAGATTATATTTAATGTAAAGTTAGAGGCGTTGTCAAGGATTTCCTTGCTTGTTGAGTTTTTTAATCATGAAGTCAATTAAATGTATTTGATTGTGTCAATACTTCTTAAAATAAACTCAACGTATTTAGTAACTATATGAAATTGAAAGTGTTTGACAGGCAAACAGAATAGCCAAAAGGAAAACCTACATTTTTGCGTGTGATGTTCACTTTACATGAGCAGAAATTCTTTCGGTCTCAAACAAACAAAGTAATTTTTGATAGAATTTGTAAATATTTTTTTAACCGCACTTCTTCATAATCTACTTTTTAATTCGATACTCTTCCCATATTAGCATCTTCATCATCCCAGTTCTCATTTTCCGCCGTAATGATGTTGCTGTTGCACTCCTGCGCTCAAAACGCCGACATT